ATTGGTTTACATATAACGCTCTCGTGTGGACGCCGCAATTACAGTGCACTCTACGCCTCTCCACGACGATTAAAAGAACAAGTGGCATTAAGCATTTGCGATGAACGCCAAGCAGGGAGTATACCCCAACTTATCTGCACGAGAGTGCACTACGGGCTCCTCGTCGTTGTCCGAATTTGGTGCCAAATATTCCGGGGCTGTGTATATATTACACTAGTGGCTCCAGCATTTCTGTGCATATAAATCTCCTCAGGCCCCGTCGCTGCTTTGCGTATTATATAATACCAACAAGAACGGATGTGACAGCTGTAACCTGGCGACAAATGAGTGCTATTTGCCTCGAATTTCCACTTTTGACGCCTCTGTCTTCTCCGTGAAAAGTGCAGCTGCACAGAAGCAAAATCTGCATGGCCGTGCATGTGGCACAAGGATTGATTATTTTATCTTTCGCTTTACTTTTCCTTTCCCTTTCTGCTTCAGCTTGTATATAAGCCACGGCTTTCCAGGAATCGCGCGGGCCCCCGCTCCCCCCCCACCCCCGCCTCCCTTCACCAAAGGAGCGCAGTTTCAGTGCTTCTGTGGCTGCGTCAGCGAGTTACAGATGCAGCGTTTGGCTACGTCTCTTTGTTCGCACGTACTTGTAAATTCGGCGTTCTCGCTTTCACTAGCGTTTGTGGATAGATTGGTTCTCTGTGCAGGTGATTGCAAGTGCTGAGTGTGTACTGGTGCATCTGTCACTGCCTGTGCATCACGGCACGCTGCTGTGGAATCAAACAGAAGCGAGTCTTTCCCTATTCATATATGTATGAATGTCTCTCCGTATTTGTGTGCGTATATCCTTTCTCTTGCGCATACATACTTCTCTCCTGTTTTGCATATATACGTTATATAGTACATTTTCAAGGGAAGTGTGTGCCGCGTCGCTTGCCGGCGCCTAGCAAGGGGTTATCTGGGGCAGAGATGGCCTCTGAGTGAGCACATAAACTGCATTAGAAGTGTCATTCTATATTTACACGCCAGGCATCGACGCTAAAAGATTCAAAGAATTGATCATCTGTAGCTTTTCTTTGGCGTCATGTCGCTCCCCTGCTTGCCTAGCAACTGTTGCCGGCACAGCCCACCACTCTTAGTGCAGCGGATTAGAGAGATGCAGCCTGCTGCTTAGTAGCAGCGGCTGTTTCCTTTTTTTAATTTCCTGGTTTGCTTGTCTGTTCCTAGCAGAATCAATCGCGATAGAGCC